AGGTGTTTTCTTATTTTGGTAGAATCTATATGTTCTACCAAATCTGAAAAATATTCACTGAATGCCAAGGGCAAAGCATGGGGAACATGTCCATCAGAACCAGGGCCACAGTACTGTGGACAGACCGACAGACAGATGGAGGATGGAGGACACCCCTCTGGCTCCTGGCTCCGGCCTGGGGCGGCCCCTCAGGGCGCACGTTGGGCTGTCCTCACCCCGAGACCACAGGAGCGAGACTCGGGGGACGTGCACTGACCTTGGCGAGCCCAGTACACCTTCTGCCGCAGCCCAGGGAAGCCCCTTCTGGGCCGTTTTCTGCCGTGGGCCCTGGGCCACAGTCCACGGCTCCCGTGGATTCCCTGTTGCGGTGGGCGGCAGCATCGGGCAGACTTCATCAGTAGCTCGTCAGTAAGAGGTGGGGTCGAGAACCTCATCTCCTGGGAAATAAAAGAGCGGAGGTGTGAAAGCCGTGGAGGGTGGATGTTTAAAACAGCTTTGGACCATCGGGGCTGGGGAGGGGACAAGACGAAAGTTGAAGACACAAAACCATAGCGTGGAGGCTAGGATGTAACCCCCAGTCCTTGTCCTCACTCCGCGTCACCACCCAGAGCTCGCCTGTTGTCCACGTGAGCAGGGACGACTGCTTTCTGAGCGACTGGGAAGACACGGTTAAACACCATAACTAAAGAGCACATGGGCTTAAAAAAGGCAAGGTATTAGGGATCACTTGGAAAACACGATTTTGCTTGTGGCGCCCACACACAGCCGGTTTTCCCAGGACAAGCCCTGGTCCCGAGGTCGGGTGCAGACCCCTGTCTGGGCTCCGAAGGTCATCGACAGAGTTGGGCACGTTGCCTGCTGGTTCTTGGCCATCTAAGAGCAGTCACTCAGGAGAGTCGCTGCCACGGAGGCTCTTGGGTCCCACGCCAGCTGGGTGCCCCACCTCAGGAACTCCGGACGCTCAGCTCACGGTGACCAAGCCCAGATCACAGAGGTCAGGTCCCCTGCAGGCAGCTGGCTGGGAGCCAGAACTCTCACGCCCCTTGTGAGTCATAATCCTTTCCAGTTCTCACAGCACGTCATAGCCTGCTCTCGCCGCACCTGAGCAAGGCTGCCCTTCCCGTCCGCTCCTGGCTCCTGGCCCTGCTCGTGCCCCTGTCACGGGAACAAAGTGACTCTGGACCAAGCACAGTGTGCAGGTAGGTGGTGACCTCTCAGAGGGAGGCAGCCGGTGCTCTGGGGCAGAGGGCAGTGTCCAGTTATGACAGCAGTCCCCAGCCCCAGGACTCCAGGCCGGGACAGGGTCCTGCCTTCTCTTCCACAGCCCTCTGCGTCCTGTGCAGAGTAGAGCTCTGGGGAGGCTTGGGACTGTGAGGTGGCCATCTGCACGGCTGTCTGCCGGGCTCCTGCAGGGACCCAGCCACTCTTCTTGGGTCTCTCCAGCTGCCCATAGACAGGCCAGTGTGGAACCCTGGGGATGCAGCCGGACCACAGTGGTAGGACTGCTCTGCCCAGAGGACGGCTGGCCTGGGTGTGCAGGGCAGGGAGGGGGGCGGGGCTCCATCTGGAAGCACAAGAGGGTGTCAGGGGCCCAAGGCCTGTGCATTTGCTTTGTAGACCCCCCGGCGTGTGGGGTGAGGGGATTCAGAGAGGCCGGCAGTAAACCGGTTAATGATGCAAGTAAGAGACCTAAAAATGTCAGTGTTTTGGTTTAATTTTTAAAGTTCTTTATTTCTTATGCATTTATTTTTATTGAAGTGTAGTTGATTTACAATGGTGTGTCATTCTAGGTGTACAACAAAGTGATTCAGTTATACATATACATACATATTCTTTTTCAAATTCTTTTCCATTATAAGTTATTACAAGATACTGAGTATAGTTCCCTGTGCTGTACAGTAGGACCTTGTTGTGTGTGCATTTTGTATATAGTAGTTAGTATCTGCTAATCCCAAACTCCCAATTTATTCCTTTCCCCTCATTTCCCCTTCGGTAACCATAAGTTTGTTTTCCATGTCTGTGAGTCTGTTTCTGATTTGCAAATAAGTTCATCTGTGTCGTGTTTTTAGATTCCACATGTAAGTGATATACGATATTTGCCTCTGTCTGACCTACTTCACTTACTATGATAATCTCTAATTTCATCCATGTTGCTGCAAATGGCTTTATTTCATTCTTTTTAATGGCTGAGTAGTATTCCATTGTGTATATATATACTACATCTTCTTTATCCAGTCATCTGTTGATGAACATTTAGGCTGTTTCCATGTCTTGGCTTTTGTAAATAGTGCTGCTATGAACATTGGGGTGCATGGATCTTTTTGAATTGGAGTTCCCTCCAGATATAAGCCCAGGAGTAGGATTGCTGGATCATATGGTAACTCTATTTTTAGTTTTTTAAGCACCCTCAATACTGTTCTCCATGGTGGCTCTGCCAATTTACATTCCCACCAGCAGTGTAGGAGGGTTCCCTTTTCTCCATAACTTCTCCAGTATTTATTATTGGTAGATGTTTTAATGATGGCCATTCTGACTGGTGTGAGATGATACCTTATTGTAGTTTTGATTTGCATTTCTCTAATAATTAGCAACAGTGAGCATCTTTTCATGTGCCTGTTGGCCATCTGGATGTCTTTAAAGAAATGTCTATTTCGATCTTCTGCTCATTTTTTGATTGGGTTGTTTGGTTTCTTTTGATATTAAACTGTATGAGGTGTTGGTGTATTTCGGAAATCAGTCCCTTGTTGGTCTCATCATTTGCAGATATTTTTATGAATTGGAGAATTTCTTTATGAAAATATATTTTCCTTAAAATCCTTATTTTTAAAAGTAGATGATGCTCTTTCTAAAAATATGGAAATAGTACAGAGGGGCATGAGATAGAAGGTGTGCACAGACCCCCATCTAGGGGGCACGGGGTAGAACGTGTGCACAGACCCCCGTCCTCCCACAGGCTCTGTTTTCCTGAGAAGGGTTTGATGTGAGGCTACTTACAGACCCACTGCATGTAGCCATATAGATGTGTGAGCCTCTGTATCTGTGTTCATATATGCATACACACGTGTGTGGATGGCTTTTTCATGGAGATGATTTTCTAGTATTTTTATCCAAAACCCAGGCAATGGTTTGCAATAGAGACCTTTATAAAATGGTCTCACTCCATCACATCCAGTCCTCGTCCAGTCTTCCTTTCTACATCTAGCCAGCAAATCTTTTCCAAAGACTTCACTAGTCCCCAGACCGCCAGCTGCTGGGGCACCTGCGGTTCACAGGCAAGCTGTGCCGCCTGCACAAGCGCCCGGTGAGGTGGCCCGAAATGGTTTTCAGTGTGCTACTGAAAAGAGTCGCTTCTCTTGCAATAAAAAGTGACCAGGACAACATCTCAGCATTCTGACACTGTCCAAGGGGGCAGGAGCCGTGGGCTACAGTGGTGACTGGAACTGAGGAAGCCGCAGGACTGGGTAGCATGGACAGAGGATGGCATTATTTAGCTGGGGACGAAATTGAGGTTTGTGGGTGTCTGTGTGCTGTGGGAGCAAAGGCACAGAACGATCTTTGGAGGTTTAGCAACACCTTACCTCGCTGTGGCTCTGCCTGCACAGAAGAAATGATCAGCTGGAAGCCGGCTGGAAAACTCCAGCGTAATCAGCACTTTTGCTCCCGTCTGGCTGTTGCGGCCAACGTACATTTGGCCCTTGGCTGTCCAAACCGAGGCACTAGTTTCCCCAGCTCCTCGGCGCTCCGCACCCGCCAGAGGTGCGGCTCCCACCCTCCGGGCTCACCGAGCCGGTCTGCAGGCTGCAGGGCCGCAACTTCCAGTTTCTGTTGGAAGAAACGGGCCCAGATCTGCCCCAGAGGAGCTGCGCGGCCGTGTCAGTGACCGGGGGTTTCTCTGGGGCCTTGTGTTGATGGGGGTGGGAACCGGATGGGACCCCTCCCCAGGCTTTCTGTCGTATTTCCCACTTTGCTGGGGGGCAATGCTCACCTCACCTGGATTTGATGGATCTCTCTGTCTGCTTAGTTGTCTGTTTCCTGTTCCTCCACTAGAGCTAAGCCTTTGTGAGGACAGGGGACTTGCTGTCGGTCAGCGTGGGGCCCCCGGCCCTGGAGGGGTGGCTGACATGGGGTGGGCACCCAGCGGGCCGCCGCGGAACGACTGGGGGAGCAGTTCTGCCTCTAGGGCAACAGATGGCCCGCTGGGAAGGGGGCAGGGCTATGCCTCTGGGAGAGGAAAGGGTGTGTGTGTGTGCAGGTGTGCAGGCACGAGTGTCTTCTACCCCAGGAGCCCCCTCCTCCCTCTGAATACGGCAGCCAGGAGTGAAGACTGACTCATTCCGCCTTGCGAGGCTGATGGGGCACGTGAAAGGCGTCAAAAGTGGTGACAGTGGCCGGCTGGCCTCCACTCTGGTTCAGCATGAGGGTGGGTGGCCTCACCTGATGCCACAGGGCAGGGGCCTCTGCAGCTCCCCCTGGAAGATTCTGGCTACAGAATCAGGCCATTCAAAAGCCCCAGGTGGAGATGGTGCTGAGGACCCATAGGGCAGAGAAGACCCAGGGTCTCGCGAAGATAAGGGCTGATTCCATTTGTGTTTTGAGGGTGGAAGTATTTGCACTGTTTCAAGTATTTTCTGACCCCACTTGGGCTGGGTTTCCCTGCAGAGGGTCTCTTCTCTCTCTGAAAATTAGGGGGGTGAGCTAAAGGGTTTCGGCTGAGGGTCCCCCACTGGCTCCAGGTTCATTGCTGCGGCCTCCCAGCTCAGTCCGGGGCCGGCGGGCCAGCCCGCTGCTCTGAGGCTTTGGCCCTTTTGGAATACTTGCTACAAGAAAACACTTCTCAAGCCAGAGTTGTGCTAACATGAACTGCTTCTCCGGTATTTTTTTTTCTTAAAAACAAATCACTAAATACATTTATTTCCAAAGTGTAAGACTTTCTGAGGTAGGCACTAATTTGTTCTGCATCTGATGTATCCATTTTTCACCTCTCTGTAGCTGAACAGTGTAACTAATGAAGAGGACAGACTTGAATGTATCTGGTGCTGCTTTTATTAACAAAGATGTCAGATTTAAATGCCGAGAAAGTGATGTTCATTCGCGGACATCAGTAATTGCTTTAAAAGAGCGAGCCGTTGATTCAACGCCCCTTAAACTAAGCGCGGCTCCAGCTTCTTAGCAGGAGGCCTGCCGGTTGAAAGCCCGCGTGGCTTTTGGTGACCTTGGGCAGCAGAGCAGGGACACCCAAGCGGCTGGTAGACTCGCGCCCGCGGTCAGCTGCCCCCCAGTTCTCTAGAACATCCCGTCACTGAAGTACCCAGTAAGGGTCAGGAGAACTCAGGCACATCTGCAAAAGCGTGTTTTTCTCCTCAGAGTGACGCGGTGTCGATGTTCGCTTTGAGGCGTGAGGTGATTGTTGGCGCCTTTGAGTCGCTCACGCCTAACCTCTAGCCGCCTGAGGTGTGCCCAGGCTCCCGGCTCCTGGGGCACATTGCTGGAACTGCCAGGGCAGCTTCCGGGTGTGTGGAAGCTCCCCATCTCTCCCCGTCCCAGTCAGCTGTCTGCGGGACTGTGTAGCGTCAGTGGGGACGTACTTCTGAGTCTGGGTCCCTTTGATTACGAGGAAGGTGCCACGTTGACTGTCCTCGTCATGTTAGCAACTCAGGAGTGGCGCTGGTGGTTTCTTCTGAGAAGTATTTTGGGAGACTGACTCACCGAGATGGTGACACAGGTCGTTCCTGACTTTGCTCTGCTCCCAAGAAGGGCGACTGACAGCCATTCAAGAGCAAGCACCACTGAGCCCCCGGAACACTGGGCCGAGGCTGCCGCAGCCCGACCACAGGGACCACGGGAGACCGCCGCGCCGGTAAGAAGGCAGCCTCGGCTGGCCGCGGGCCCCTCCCCCAGGCTGGCACAGCCCCAGGTGGAGAGGGCACCCCGAGCCTGCAGCTCCTCAGCTCCTCCAGTGGGACAAGAGGACTCAGGAGGACCCCAGGAATGTGGGTCGCTTTGCGGGGTGCAGATCTGCCTGATTTGGATCCTCAAATGAGGAGTTTTACTGGCCCAAGAGCCCGATTTGCCAGCACCCAGACGAGGAGCTGAGTCACAGCCCCTCCCGCTGCGGAGCGGGCCTTCCAGCCCCATCTGACCCGAAGGGCTGGCAAGGACTCCTGGGGGCTGTGAGGTCCAGCTGTGCTCAAGCCAAAAGGAGGCAGGCAGAGCACACTGGGCATGGGGTGTTCTACACACGGGCTAGGGGACTAATGCCGAGCCAGGGCAGAGGGGCGCCCCCACCCCTCCCAGCCAGAGAGCTCCGCCCCGGCCAGGGAGCCGTGACACAGCCCCGCCCACCGCGGAGAGGGCCTTCCAGCCCCTCTGCCCAGAAGGGCTGGCAGTGGCTCCTGCGAGCTGCGCAGCATTCCAGCTGAGACGCAGGCAGATTTGAGAGTTGACAGAGCAAGGCCAGTGACTGTCCGATCAGACAATCTGGGGTGCAGGTCTGCTTCGGTTAAGAAAACAAAGAGTTTTACTGCTTTAGAGCCGCTTCTCCCACAGTGCCTGGGCGGGCAGTCCAGTCTGTAGTCCTGTCTGTTGCCGAGGAGAACCTTCAGCCTGTGTGGCCAGGGGCCCATCGGGAGCACACGGGGAGCTGTGCAGCCCATTCCCCAGGCCCACGTGCAGTGGGACTTGAACCCAGCGCAGCCTGTAGCTCCTCCTCCATGCACAGCAAACTCAGTGGCCTCCTTGACCAGGGAATTCAGGGCACACTCAGATCTGACCTGGGTCCCCAGACAGCACTCTGTGCAAGCCCCAGACCGTCCTGCTGCCCCACCAGGCAGGGAAGCTAGCCCATGGCCCACCTGCTAACGACCAGAGGATCCAGGCAGCCAGGGAGGCCATTCTGCGCCGCGCGTGGGCAGCACACCACGCCAGCAGCCCTCTCCCACTGCTCTCAGCCAGTGGCCCCATTCCCGCAAGCCCCGCTCTCAGAGTTGCAACAGCTGCCACGTCCAAAAACAGACATAATAGCAGGTTCCTCCTGCCCAGGGCTTGACCAAAGACACACCCAGAAGCCCCAACTGGAGCTGCCTGCTGGAGATCCGTCGCCGCCAAAACAAACCTGTGAGGTTTCGCGGAGGAGCCCCATCCCTCGGATGCACAGACAGCAGCATCAGGAATCAAGGGGCATGAAAAATCAGGTCGACGTGACTCCACCAAAGAGAACTACTAAAGCTCCAGTAACTGACCCTGAGGAAAAGGAGATGCCTGAACTGCCAGACAAAGACTTGAGAATAGTCTTCTTAAGGGAGTTCAGTGAACTGCAAGGAAGCGCAGACAGACAAATAGCAAAATAAAAATACAAGCATAAAACAAGGAATTCAGTAAGGAAATAGCAACTGTCACAAAACAAAACAAAACCCAGAAATCCTAGAGTTGAAAAATACAGTAACTAAACTGAAGAATTCAACAGAGAGTTTGCAAAGTAGACCTGACCATGCAGAAGGAAGAGTCAGTGGCCTGGGAGACGGGACATCAGAAATTACCCAGCTGCAGCAAAAAGAAAGAGGAATGAAAAAGAGCGAAGAGAGCCTGCAGGAATTATGGGACACAAAGGAAAGAAACAATATTCACATTATGGGTGTTTCATAAGGAGAAGAGAAAGAGAAGGGAAGAGAAAGTACTTTTAAAGCAAACACGGCTGCCGAGAACTTCCCAAACCTGGGGACAGCAGTGGACCTCTGTATCCATGAGACCCAAAGGACTCCAAATAGGGTGAACTCAGGGCTGCGCTGAGACACATTATAATTAAATGGTCCAAGATAAAGACAGAATCTTAAAAGTAACAAGAGAAAAGAGAGAAGTTAGGTACAACGAAATGCTTGTAAGATAATTGGCAGATTTCTCAACAGAAACATGTCAGGTCAGAGGCAATGGGATGATATATTCAAAATATTAAAAGAAAATCACTGCCAGCCAAGAACCCCGTACCCGGCTCAGCTGGGCTTCAGAAGCAAAGGGAAGACAGACCTTCACGAACACACAGAAGCTGAGGGAGTTCGTTGCCCCCGGACACATCTCACCACAAATGCAGAACAGAGCTCTCTGAGTGGAAGTAAAAAAAAAGGCTAATTAACTTCATAAAAACATTAGAAGTCAGTGTAAGTGAGTGTCACAAGTAATAGTAAATAAGTAGTTACAGTTAGATTCTGCAATATGATCATAGCGATGCATGATTCATTCGCAAATAGTTTAGTTTAATTGATAACTTATTTTCTAGTTTAAAATTTTAAAAACATCCATAATCTACAATAATCTGTTATCAGTTACACAGTATAGAAAAGAATGTAAATTGTAACAGCAATAACCTAAAATGTGAGGGAGAGAAGAAATAAAAGTGTAAAGCTGATGAATTCTATTGAAGTTTAGTTGTCATCCATTTAAATAGGTTATTACAAGTTTAAAATATTTACTGGTAGCCTCATTGTAACCAAAAGGGAAAATCCTGTAGAAATTACACAAAAGAACACAGTAAAGAAATCAAAGTACACTGGTACCAAAAGACATCAAAACTCACAAAAGGACAGAAGGATAAGAAACAAGGAACCGTAAAACAGTGAACAAAATGGCAAGAGTACTCCCTCACCTACCAGTAATGACTTTAAGCATAAATTGATTAGATTCTCCAATTAAAAGACGTGAAATGGATGGATGGATGGATGTAAAGCACAAGATCTAACAATATGCTGCCTGTAAGAGATTTATTTTAGCCTTAAAGACATACATAGACTGAGAGTGAAGGGTTGAGAAGAGACATTTCAAGCAAATGGTAACTGAGAGAGAGAAAGAAACAAAGAAGAAAGAAAAGAGCAGCAGTAGCTGTATTTATAATCAGACAAATAGACTTTAAACTAAATGGTAAAAAAAAGAGACAATACGATAATTAAAAAGTCACTACATCAAGAAGATGTAATAAGTGTAAATATTTATCTTCCCAACCTGGTAGCACCTACGTACACTAACCAAAAACTAACAGAGCTGAAAGGAGTAATAAACATAATACGGTAATAGTCGGGGACTTTGCTACCCCACTGCCAACAAGGGATAGATCACCCAGGCGTAGGGTCGGTAAGGGAACAAGGAATTTGAACAACGCTATAAATCAAACGATCCTAACAGACCTTCACAGAACATTCTGTCGGACAACAGCAGAACACACATTCTTCTCAGGCACGCATGGAGCGTTTTCTGGGGTAGACCATATATTAGACCACAAAAAAGTCTTAGCAAATTCAAGAAGATTGAAGTCATACCACTTGTCTTCTCCGACCACAATGTCATGATAACCAGAAATCAGTAGCTGGAGGGAAACTGGAAGATTCACAAATACATAAAAACTAAACAACACTGTACTAAACAACCAGTGGATCAAAGAAGAAATTCAATGGGAAATAAAAAAGTTCCTTAAGACAAATGAAAATGGAAACACAATATACCAGAGCTTGTGGGATGCGGCAAATCAGCTGTAACAGGAAAGTTCGTAAAAAACAAATGCTTACATTAAAAGTCAAGAAAGATCCCAAATAAACCGCCTACCTCCACACTCTAAGGAACTAGGAAAGAACAAGTTGAACCCAAAGTTAGCAGAAGAGGGGGGATAATAAAGAGTAGGGCACTAATAAATAAAAGAACAGAAAAACAATAGAAAAGATTAACCCAATGAAAAGTTGGTTATTCAACAAGATAAATAACATTGACAAACCCTTAGCTAGACTAACCGAAGAAAAAAGAGAAGGGACTCAAGTCAACAGAGCTAGAAATGAGAAAGGAGACGTTGCAGTGACTGTCACAGACATTCAAAGGGTCAGAAAAGCCTGCTCTGAACAAACTGGACAACTGAAAAAAATGGAAAGTTCCTTAAAAACATACAACTTACCAAGACTGACTCAGGAAAGAATGGAAAAATCTAAAATGGATCAATTACTAGTAAGGGAATTGAATCATTAATTTAAAAATCTAGCAAGAAAAAAGAAATCCCAGGACCAGATGGCTTCACTGGTAAATGTTTCCAAGAATTAACACCAATCCTTCTCAGACTCTTTCAGAAAGTCAAAGAGGAGGGAACACTCCCAAATCATTTTACAAGACCAGTATTATCCCAATACCAATTCAGAAAAGAACGCTACTAGAAAAGGAAACCACAGGCCAATATCCTTGATGAGTATAGATGCAGAAATTCTCAATAAAACGCCATCAGACTGAATTCAGCAACACTTGGAAGGACCCTTCACCGTGAGCAGCTGGGAGCTACCCCTGGTGCACGAGGAGGGGTCAGCACATGCAGACCTAGCAGCATGATACGTCACATTTATGGAGCGAAAGGGAAGAACCATGCGACCACCTCAGTAGGTGCAGAAAAAGCATTTGACAAAATTTAAACCCCACTCATGATTTTTTTAAAAAACTCCTAACAAATTAGGCACAGAAGGAACATATCTCAACATAATGAAGGCCGTATGTGACAAGCCCACAGCTAACATCACACTCACCGGTGAAAGACTGAAAGCTTTTCCTCCAAGATCGGGAACGAGACAAGCCCGTTCTCACCGCTCCTGTTCAGTGTAGTCCTGGTAGCCCTGCCAGAGCCATCAGGCAAGAAAAAGAAGTAAAAGTCATCAGAACTGGAAAGGAAAAAGTAAAGTCGTCTATTTGCAGATGACACAATTTTATACATAGAAAATCCTAAAGACTCAACCAAAAATCTAATCCATGAATTCGGTAAAGTTGCAGGTTACAAAATTAACCTACAAAAATCAGTAGCATTTCTCTACACTAACAACAAATCTGAGAAAGAAAGAAAGAAATTGATCTCACAGTAGCATCAAAAACAGTAAGACACTTGGAAATAAATTTAACTAAGAAGGTAAAGGATCTCTACTCTGAAGACTACAAGACATTGATGAAAGAAATTGAAGGCACCAATGCGTGGCAAGTTGTCTGTGTTCATAGACCGGAAGGATTGATATTTAAAATGTCAGTATAATCAAAACTACCATGGATTCAGTGCAATTTCTATCAATTCCAATGCATTTTTTACAAAAGTAGAAAAAACACATCTAAATTTATTTGGAACCACCGAAGACCTCAAATAGCCAAAGAAATCCTGAGAAAGAAGAACGAAGCAAGAGAACCCCACTTCCTGGCTGGCAGCTGGGCCAGGAAGCACAAGCATCGAACAGCGTGGCCCGGCCTAAAACCAGACAGTCAGGCCAAGGGAACAGAACCAAGAGCCCAGAAACAAACCCAGTCGTGTACAGTCAACTAGTATGTGACACGTGAGCCAAGAGTGCTCAATGGGTGGTGCTGGGCTGATTGAATATCTACGTGTAGAAGAATGAAACAGGACCTGTGGTTTACACACTCACAAAAGTTAACTCAAGCTGGATTAAAACCTTCAATGTTAGACTTGAAACTACAAAAGCCCTAGAAGGGAACATGGGGAAACTCTCCCTGACGTGGGTCTTGGCAATGATGTTTTGGATACAGCACCTCAAGCACAAGCAACAAAATGAAAGATAAACCACTGCAACTGCATTAAACTGAAGCGCTCCTGCACAGCAGAGAACCCGTCAGCAAAGCGACAAGACAGCCTGCAGAGCGGGAACAGCATACCTACATATGATGCGTCTGCTAAGAGGCTAACGCCCAAAACATACAGAGAACTCACCCAGCTCAATAACAAAAGAGAAAAATTAAAAATGGGCAAAAGGCTTGAGCATTTCTCCAGAGAAGGTATATGAAAGGGAGCAGGTGGATGACAAGATGGTCAGCGCCGCCGGTTGTCAAGGAAACGCAAGTGGAAACCACAGTGAAATGCCACCTCCCAACCTGCTAGGAGGGCCGTCATCAGGAAGCCAGGGGGCAGCAAACGCTGGCGAGAACGCGGCCAGAAGGGAACCCTGCGCACTGTCAGTGGGAGCGTAAATCGGTGCAGCCTCTGTGGAGGACAACAAGGGGGCTTCTCAAAACGTTAAAGATAGAGCTACCATTTGGACCAGCAATTCCACTTCTTCAAGAATATGTCCAAAGGGAACAGAAACACAAACTCAAAAAGATCTCTGCACCCTCATGTTCATAGCAGCGTTATTTACAACAGCCAAGTGTTCATCGGCAGAGGAGTGAATAAAGAAATTGTGGTATATATACACAACAGAATATTATTCAGCCAAAAAAAGGGAATTCTACCCTTTGCGACAACATGGGATGGACCTCGAGTGCATTAGACTAAGTGAGGTTAAGTTAAACAGAAAAAGAGAAATACTGTATGATCTCACCTATATGTGGAATCTGTTAAAAAAATTAAAGCACAAACTTATAGAAAAAAGAGATCAGATTTGTGGTTACCAAAGGCAGAGGGGTGGAGGGACAGGGGACTGGAGGAAGGTGGTCAAATGTACAAACTCCCACTTATGAGGTCAGGAAGAATGAGCGATGTAACCCGAGTCAGCACGGCTGCGTAACATGTAGGAAGGCTACTGAGGCGGCGAGTCCTGAGCGCCCTGGTCACAAGGAAACAGCTTTTCTCTTTCCTTTTCTTCTTATTGTATCTGTGTGAGAAGGCGGCAGTTAGCGGGACTACTGTGGGCACCATTTCACAATAGATGTGAATCAGCCCACCACGGGGTATGCCTCAAGCCCATACAGCAATGTATGTCGGCTACTTCTCCATAAAACTGGAGGGAAAAAAAGAAACGTTTTGTCCTGGTAGAGGTGGCGTCAATCGTAAAGTACCTGATCATTAAAACAAAAAAAGTCCTCTTGAGATAGATGAAAGGGAACAAACGGGAGGGAGGCTGGTAAAGCAAGCATGCTTAAAGCAACTGTTTCTGTGATTAATTCCTGATAGGGCGAGGGCAGTGAGAGGGACGGGGAGGGAGCGGCCGGCGAGGACCGGAAACCGACCTCCAGCGTTCCTTGCGCAGACGCAGGCTCCCCGGGGGCCTGTTGAAAGGCCGGACCAGCAGCTCCTGGGAGCGCCTCGCGGGAGCCGGTCAGAAAATCCAGACCGTTGTGATCACTGAACAGCGAATGGCACGAGAAAACCTCAGGAAGGCCTTCTGACATCAAGATATGAGTCATTCGCGGGTAGACAGGTCAGAATGGAAGGAAGGGAGAGCGTTGCTGAAACACAGAAAGGAGGTCAGATACTTGGTAACAAGACGGGTGTCAGAAGCCCACGTTGTGCCTGGTGTTACGTTTCTGTAAACGCTGCCCCACCTGACGTCTTTGCTGAAAGTTAAAATGTCATCCTAGCCAGTTAACATTCACTGGTGATTTCTGTATGTCAGGGCCGGTGCCAAAGGCTTTTCCAATTCCTAGCTTCTTGAACTTTTGCAAGCCTCCTATTTCAGGAGGAAACCGAGGTTTGGAGAGTCACATGATCCAGCTGTGACTGTCCAGCTCGGAAGTCACGGGATTAGGGTTAGACCTCCAGCTCTCCTTTGTCTCCGTGGTCATCACCCCTTTTCCCAGCCCATGCTGCTCACGTGTCCCCATAATCGTGACAGTCCATCCCTAGTCTATACCTAAAACTGGCACTTTCCCCAAACTGTCATTTTTCATAGGAATAATATAAGCTGCAAGGGCAAGAACTTTCTCACGCTATTCAAATGATATGGCTTGGTTCCCTGAACACCGTCTCCACCGCATCTAACATTTACCTGCCCTGTACGGTTTGCCTGACTGATCCAAACTAGGTAAAAATAATACCACAGAATTTTGGAAGCAATCTTCAAGCGTCAACTTTCACTAACAACTGAATTAAACTGAACAATTGAATAAAAACAATTGAATTCACACCTGGATAGACAAATGATTTTGCTTGCTGATTAGCTGTGAGATGCAGGGTAAGGGGTTTAAACTGGCCCCGTCCAACACGATAGCCACTGGCCACATGTAGCTATTTAGATTTAAATTTTAATTAAATAAAATTAAATGCAATCATGCATTCAGTTCCTCAGTTGCACTGCCATGTTTCAAGTGCCCAACGGCCACCTGTGACCAGCGGCTAGTGGTGCCGAAAGTTCTCTTGGACAGCACTGCTCCAAACCTAAAACCCAAAACCTCTGAAGTCTTCTGGAACTGTTTCTTGTCTGGCAATGGGTCCAAGTTCTAATGATAATTGTCCCAGTCCTGTTACAGACAGCATGGAAAAGTGCTCTGCAAATTGTAATGTGTTATATAAGCTTTAAAAAAAATTGTCGCAGTGTTGTGAAATCAGATAGTCTTTGAGATGCTAATACTTTGGCCCTTGGATCTTACAATCATATTAAGTCTTTTTCATAAGTTGACCTGTGTACCTTGAAGCTGACATTTATACTTTGTTCTTTAAGACTGAAGTACACTCTGCATTGTGCACCATTGACAATTTCTCTTAATGTGGAAGGTACCCTTACATATATACACATAATGATATACACAGGTACCACTATGTAATGTGTAATTAATAATATAATATGCATACTTATATCATACAATGTATGTAATATGAAAATCATCGCGTTCCTGTGAGGGTCATATCTGTTGGAAATAAATAGGGAAAAAGTTCCAAGACATACAAGCTGATAAGAGTCTTAATTTTTCGCCCGACCAGAAAGTGATTACTGTGGCTGCCGAGCAGGTGAATGAGTAACAGCACCGAGGTGCTTCGTGGTGTCAGTGGCAGTCACGTTCTGTAACGCTCAGCAACAGCCTTCCTGACTGATACACCCCAGCTCAGAGAGAGCGCGCGCCTTCTGGTACAGACGGCTTTTCCAGCGCCCCATCGGTTTCTTTTAGGGGACGACAAATCTGTTGATGCTTGAGACGTCCAATCAGCACAATGGACAGAAGCCTGAGGAACGTCCTCGTGGTCTCCCTCGGGTTTCTGCTTCTCTTTACTGCCTACGGAGGTCTGCAGAATCTGCAGGTAAGCGGTGTGCCATCGGTGTGACCCTTCCTTCCCGACGTCTCTGGGCCTTCAGGAATGCCTGTGTTCACAGGCCACGAGGAACGTGGGGTTTCTGGTTACCCAAGTCACCTTCCAAAAGTCCTCTAAGACAAACAGTGGTTTGAGCTGCCATCCCACGCCATGTGGCTCCCGCTCTGGGTTCGGTAGGACCGCACAGCTGTGAGCACTCGCCTTTGGATGAGGAGGCCGAGTCTCGGGCTGGTGCCTTGATGAGAGTGCCTTGCTTTGCTTTGTTGGGTAAGGGGGACACAGGACGAACCCCTGTGGACCTGTGGTCAGAAGCAGTGCTGTGAATTCATCAGAGGCCACCAGGCCACGCAGATCCCCAGCCCGCTTTAAGCACAGCTGTGAATTTGGATGAAGTGGCCTCTGTACAGTCTGACTCTGGCTTTCGCTCCTCCCCGGGTGTCCCTGAAGGCTGTGACTGTGGTCACGTGTGCCCAGAGTGGAGTTGCAGGCTCCTCCCCAGGTGGCTCTGTTTGGAGTCTGATCTCTGTGGCTCAGACCCGCAGGAGCCCCTGGGGCAGGGGGTCCTTGTGCGCCGATGCCTTCACCCAGCTCTGTGCTGTGTGGCCCGGGGGCTTCCCCACAGTGAGGCATTTTTAAACCTTCTGCTGACAGGTTGGTGTGGTCCTGCAAGTTTGTCAGTCAGGGACATGAAGTAGGCGCCTACTGTGTGCACAGTATTGAACCGGAAAAGCCTGTGCAGGAGAAGGAAGGAGGGGTCCACATTTTCTGTCCGCGTTGTTAGCCCAAACTCTTCGGACTTGCAGGTGGGCGAGGGAGCTCAAGTTCAGCCTCGAATTCTAAGTATGTATTTTCCTCGTGAACTCTACTCGGTCTGGTTTCTGATCAAGCTCACAGAGAAGGCACAGCCAGGGGTGACTCCAAAATCAAGGCAGAGGGGAAGCGTGGTCCCCTTTCCTGCCGGCGTGGCCCTGACTTGTGTAGACGTCGCCGCCTCCTGAACTTTGGGGTGTTGTCAAATGCTCTTGTGCATGAAACACCTGCTTTGTTCTGTTGAGTTGAGCTCATGTTGAACGTAGCGCATGCTGTCTGGATGGAGAGCTTCGCGGGAGTGTGGACATGTTAGCACCACTTCCTCTGCTGGCCCCACAGAGGGAAGCCGCAGGCAGGGCAGCTGCGCGGGCTCCCGGGCTCGGGCGTGACTGTGGTGGGGGCTGGGACGAGCAGTCAGCTGTAAACTGACGGCTGCTCAGCTGAATGACGGCGCAGTGGCCTCTGGACTTGGAGGCCAGAGGAGGGAGGACTTCAGAAGCTGCCAGGGGTCCCTGCTCTCAGGCTGTGACCACAGGATGCTGAGGCCACAGACGAAAGCAGGCACCTCACCCAGGAAACACTGGGAACGGCGCCTGCGTGGGGGCAGCATCCCAGCTTGGCCCCCACGTCCTCTCAGGCCAGTCCCCCTGGGCCGGGCGCCCACTGTCACTGGTGTGGTCCCTCCTTCCTCAGAAGACTGGAGACGTTAGAGACCAGACCTCCAGCCCTGACGGGAGCAACCCCACTCACCCACTCCCTCCCTCCCTCCCAGCCCTAATCTGGCCATGTTTCTTGTCCTCTGATCCAGAACATGTGAACATGTTTCAGCTGGGAGAATGGTCTCCATCTCAGGACCGGCTTCAGAAAAAGCAGTGTCATGACAGGGACAGAGTGACCTCAGGGATGACTGAACCCCGGGGCTGCTGGGGACACCTGCTTGTCTCCATCACTGCCTTCTGCTCTCTGAGGATGGTTGGCTTCATTCTCAGGCCCCAGCGAGAAGGCAAAGATGCTCACGAGCATCCCCAGAGCCCCAGCCCGGGTCTGGGTCGGGTCGTGCACCTGCCCTGGGACCCAGACTCGCATCAGCACCACTTCCCGCTGCGGTGGCTGCTGTTCTCACCATGTCCTGCTGCGGCCACCTATGTGTCAGTCATGCCTCAGCATGCACGTCATGCTTCCTCCTCCCCCTTGGCTCTGCCCCGGAGCCCACGTCTGGGTGAGGCCCCCTGTGTGCATGCCCAGGGCTGTGGCACGCCTCCCACAATGGCTGTGGGTCCCACGATGCCCAACCCCACCCTTCCCTCCATGACCGCATCCCCTGCCTTGGACGGCACTCGGCACCCAGCCACTGTGCTTGGCTGTCTGGTGAATGAAGTCGTTGATGCGTGTTAACGTCCTCCCTTTCCGGGCTCTCCATGGGCTTAAAGATCCGATCCCATTGCCCAGTATGGAGTCCAGGGCTCCTCCTGGTCTAGTTTGGCCGGCTGTCCGGCCTCACCTCCCCAGAGGAGCTAATGGCTCTGACCCCCGAGTTAAATGTTTCGCAGGGTCTCTCTTCTCAGGACGCGGCCTCTGTAACACGTCCCCTGAACGTCCCCCCTCACCCACGCCTCTGACCTTTCCGTGGCCTCCTTCCCATCCTGCAGTTTCCACATCACCTTCTTTCCTTCCAGAAACTCTTCCTGACGCTGCTGGGCTGGCCCCTGCACCCTCCCAGAAGCTCGGGCCCTGGGCCTCCTCCCTGCGGGACTCAGTCCCACTGCAGTGGCCTGTTGGCTGGGGTCGCTGACACCTGGCCACTCTGTCCATCATCCGCTCCCCGACGGTGGCTGTTTTCCGTTTTGTGTCCCTAGACTGCACACAGGGTCTGCACTGGTCAGTGCTGGCGTTGAGCGACCACTTGCACTGTTTGTGAAATGGGTCCCTCACGTGCGCTCATCCTCGCGCGTGTGTTCCACAGGGCGGCTCTTCTGACACGTGCAGACACAGGTGCTGGAACAGGGTCGTTCACGTAAAGAGAGACACTCGCTTTTGAAATTTGGTTCCCGCTTGGATAGTGAGATCTGCCTTCCTGTCGGGTGGTGTGCAGTGGAGCTCTGCTGTAAGTAACACACAGACGCACCTTGCCGGTTGGCAGCAGTGCTGAGGACGGAAGAGAAATTCCAGGGCCCAGAACGCCTGCTTCTCGTTAGCACACAAAGAGGCGCGCTCCCCGGGGCGGAGAATTTAACACATCAGAATAAGGAAACAAAAGGCTCCCCCAGCCGGTTCTCTCCCTCCCCCACCCTGGCAACTGGAACTGGGGCAGAAATTTCCAGATAACCTCGACTTGAAAGCAGGCTTCTCATTAGCATGCAAACCTCTGTCTTCCAACCAGATGTTGAAACTTTCATGGGACAAGAGATTCTTGCTTTCGTGTTCAGCTACTCAACAAACATCTTTAAGCACCTGTTTGGGGCAAAGGCATTGGGGTAAATTCAGAGAAAGCAGTGGCTGATCCAGGGACAGATTCCAAGCCAAGCTCGAAGCAGAGACCTCTGCGGACAATGATACTCGGTCAGGGGGTGGGGTGGGTTGGAGACCCTGGCCCTGCACTGGAAGCAAGGGCAGCGTTTGCGCGGATGTACCCAGGAAAGGGAGAGAAAGCCCTGAGGGGAGAACTCAGCTTGTGAGGTTTGGAGTCTCCAGGAGACGCGAGTGATGGGAAGGGGGTGTTGCCGAAAGATCAGCCCCGTCCCTGAGGAGCCGAATAACCAGAGACAAGGTCTTGGAGCTTAGAAGAAGAGGCAGATTTCTTACTTTGCCAGGCAAAGGGGCCTCACAGCGGGCTGGTGCCTTCAAACCTGTGAGCCCGTCTTGGGGGTGGGGCTTCATGCTTCTATAGATGAAGAGGTTGGTTGGAACATGAAGGGTGGTCGTGATCAGCAGGGGTCTCTGATGAAACTTCCCCCTCGATCTGGACGAGTGTGTCTGGTATCATGGGACCTGGTGGTCTGGGAGGTCGTCAGCCCGCGACCTTCTTTATCTGGTCAGACTCATCCGGCAGCGCCAGCGCCACGGGGTCGGGGGTGGCTGGTCATTCTCCTGAGCTTATCGCCTGTGACTCCCTTCCTGCGAAATGACTCAGATGCCAAGCATGACTGTAAATTTTAATGATCAGAGGAAGGTCAAATCGAACAGTAGAATCGACAACTTCAGCTGTAACAACGGGCCTGGGGCTGGGAGCAGCATCCGGTCGGGCAGGGTTGCTGATCATTCTAAAAGCAGGCAGTAAGCATAAAGCCAAGGATCTGTTAGCTCCAGCGCGGCCGTTGTATTATTTCTCCCTCAGAAGGGCCTCAGGGACTTGCCCCCGGCCGCACGTGTGGGGCCTTTGGTTAGGGGCCCAGGTAGGAAGGACGGTGATGGTGCAGACCCAGCCCTGGCTCGGGGTCATCTGGACTCCTCAGCGGCGTCTGCGCTCTGCAGGGGCGCCTTCCCCGCGGGGGCACAGCGCCTGCCTCAGCCGCGGCGGGGAGAGCCGTCCAAGCTCTTATTCCGGTGTCTGCACAGAGTCGGCACTTGGACGATGGGGGTGAGCTCAGCTTAGGGCTCCGGCTTCTGCCGGGGAAGACGCCCTCTCCTGGGCGTTTTCCTCCTCTGGTGTCTGGCCGGTTACCTGGAGCTCAGCAGGTCCTCCCGCCGTGAGTGACCACAGGGCCGGGCACTGAGGGGAAGGGGACAGAGCGTGGGGAGTGGGACACGCAGCAGGGCCCTTGTGAAGGGAGCCCGCTGCCAAGAGGAACACTCGTCTCCCTCCTCCCTCTCCTCCTCCCCCTTCCCCCTCCCCTCCCCCTCCCCTTTCCCCTCCCCCCCCCTTGCCTCCCTCTCCCCCTGCCCCTTCTTTCCTCTTACAAGTGAAGTAAGAGGAAAAACCGGTTATGCTGGTTTTCTTCACAGCAAAGGTAAAAGTCCGTCCATGTCCGTGTCCCCCCCACCCCGCCCCCGAGTGCCTTTGCCAGCCTGGCTCTGGGAACCTGCCTGGCCTCTCAGTCGCTTCATACCAGGCTATGCCAGGCGCTCCAGCGAAAAATGACAAAAATATGAAAAACGGGAGTGTCTGCTTACTGTGTTGAGCAGGAGCTTCTTGCTGTGCCTCGGGCTCAGCCTGAGTCCCCCCCGCCACCCGAGGAGCCTGGAGACACTGTGGCTGCCTCGCCATCCCACGGATGGAGGCAGGTGCCGGGCAGCAGGTGGGGCTCCCTGCCCAGCCCTGCGCACCCCTCCCCATCCAGGAGAGCGGCCCCACCCTGTGCAGAATTCACCGCATCTCCGCCCCTGCCCACTGCCAGCTGGAGAAGAGGCCTCCAGCCCAGGACGCCAGCCCATGAGGCCTGTGGCTGGTGGCCTCGGGGACCTGGAGGTGACACTGGACCGCTGACCAGGGCGGTTTTGTCCCCGCAGAGCAGTCTGTACAGCGAGGCGGGCCTGGGGGTGGCCGCGCTCAGCACGCTCTACTGCGGGATGCTGCTCTCGTCCATGTTCCTGCCGCCGGTCCTCATTCAGAAGCTGGGCTGCAAGTGGACCATCGTCACCTCCATGTGCTGCTACGTGGCCTTCTCCCTGGGCAACTTCTACGCCAGCTGGTACACCCGCCACTCACCACCTCGGGTCCACGTGCGGCTTGGATTGAGCCGCTCCGGCCCCTCCACCTCTCCTGCTTTAAGATGAGATGTCTCCGTTCCCTCTGCTGGGCCCATCAACTCCGATTCTCAACCCTGCCCTCAGCTTCCCTCCTGCCCCCCAGGCACTGTCGTGGCCCCAGCAACCAGGGGAGACTCTGACTAGGACGCTGGGGGGGAGTTTCAGGGAGACTTAGCAGGATGTGACCAGTGGACCAAACCCCATACCCTCACCCCGTCACAGAGAGGACACGGCACGGCTGGAGCCGGTGCCCCGGCCAGGCCTGAGCCCTGCCCGCTCCCCAGTTGAAAGGGACCCTGGGGGGCCAAGCTCTGAGGGCGTGGGCCACACCCCTTTTCCCAGGAGCCCAGCTGGCAAGTGTCTGCTTGACGGACACCCCACTGCCCGCAGGACACGCTGATACAGCGGCTTCTTATGCTCCTTTTTCTTGGGACCATAGATTACTTCCTACAGAGTCCCCATGGTGGGGGCGGCAGGCCAGCACACACACACACACGCATGCACATGCATGCACACACATGCACGTGTACACACACGCATGCACATGCATGCACACACATGCACACATGCATGTGTACACACACACACATGCATACTAAATGTTCTTAACGTAATGCCGTTAGAAATACCCAGCACCGGCCCGGCCTCACTTCTAACTCCAGCTCACTGTAGTTGCACCCAAATACAAAGGCACTGCACTGGCACCCACGTCCACTTTTACAAACGAGCCAGAACCAGGAAAGGTGCCGATTTCTCATTCAGCTGAGTCTAAGGGTGACCCCGTCAATCTGCCCAGTCCACAGCACAGTTCGACCTCATGGGCCGGGAGGAGCCCCTTCTCTCCAGACCGAGGGGGCCGAGCACCCCCCATCTGCCCTTCATCCCCCAGGTACACACTGGTCCCCACCTCCGTCCTGCTGGGACTTGGAGCCGCCCCGCTGTGGTCCGCTCAAGGCACCTACCTCACCATCATGGGAAACGCACACGCGGAGAAGGCGGGAAAAGCCGGCAAAGACGTGGTGAACCAGTATTTCGGCATCTTCTTCCTCATATTCCAGTCGTCCGGAGTGTGGGGCAACCTGATCTCGTCTCTGGTGTTTGGACAGACGCCCACTCACGGTAACAGGAAGGCTCAGTGGCCACCCCTGAGGGCCCCTGGACCTGAGCGGGTGGTCTCGTGAGGCCCGGGCCCTGGTTCTCGGCCCGCCTGTGCCTCAGCGTTACTGGCTTCCTGCTCCCCGGGCAGCCTGGGCGGGTCTGAGGGCCCGTCTGGCCCGCAGGTGCCCCCAGCAGTTCTGATGCTGGCGTCCCCTGGGCGGGGGGGCCTGGGGTGCCCTGGGGAAGTGAGGGCCACCTCTGTGGAACTTGGAGCATGGCATCCTCACTGTCCTAGACCATCTGTTTTCCCACTGAATCGGTCCATTCACCAGTGTTTCCAGGGGCACATGAAGGACCCCTCACCTCTTACCTGATTTGAGCATCTGGTGGCCGACGTCTTAACTCCGCTCTCCCTGGCCTCAGACAGGGTGTAACGTGGGTGTCTCTTCTCTGCCTGCACTTTGATGTCTGAGGATTTAAACCAGGGGCAGACGGAGGAACCTCTTCATTCCTTACAGGTAACACGTATTAACAGGAAGAGGTTCTGGCTCTAAGTGCAGCCATGATTACTGCCCTGGCCTGGCCTCGCGGACCTCAGCCCGCTGTCCCCGCCAAAGCCCTGCCTTTGGGAAACTCTGTAGTGAAAATCCTTCTTCCTGTTTTCTCATGTGATGTCGTCACTTGCTAAAGGCACCCAAAGAGGGGACCACAGGGTCGATGGATACCCACTGCCCCTCCTTGCTGGCGTCACTGTCAGCAAGAGCCCCGCAGAAACTGGGCTCAAAGCCCAGCCCCTCCAAGAGGACCGGTGCGCAACGGAGGGGCCAGGCTTATCTGAAAGACATGCAGGCTTATCTGAAAGACAGAGCTGAGGGCTGGGAGGCACACTGCGCGTCACGAGGCTTCTCGGCCTTTCTGCGCCTCTGCTCTCCACGCTGCCTTCGCTACGCACTGCGTATCTCCCCAGCCAAGGGATTTTGTGGCATCTTATGTGATGGAACCTTTGTGATGGGAACATAATATTCACTGAATATTCTTTCTTCCACGACATCCTTCTCTCTCCAGAGATTCTGATGTGAGTCTGAGAGTCGCTGATGTTTCAAATTTTATTCTTCTCACAGATAAGAAAACTAACATTCAGAGAAGGTATGAGATAACCTGCCCAAGGTCATGGAGCTGGTTACAGGTGAATCTGAAAGAGAAGCCAGCGGGCCCGACATTCATCTAGTGTCCTCTAGTTCTTATTAATTTTGAAATGTGGAAATTTTTCAATTATGTCAGGAAAGTAACATAAACAAGGAACCAACATTTACCGCACGTTGTCCAAAGTGCCTTCAGGTCAAGTGTACGGACACGTGCCCGGGGGCAAGTATTTTCAGACCCTTGGTGAAGTGAACGCGTGCCTCGTCATGCTGACCTGTGGCGATGTCTGGCTCTCTGCATGTCCACGTGCCTTTCTCGTGGGGCGCCCCTTTGCTCAGGTCCCGTCTCCCGTCAAACCGCCTGTGTTCTCATCCCAGCTCTCTGCTTCCGACGTCACAGGGGCCGTTCCAGAGGAGCAGCTCCTGTCCTGCGGGGCCAGTGACTGCTTGATGGCCACGGCATCCTCCAACAGCACCAGTCACCCGTCCCAGGAGCTGATCTACACCCTGCTGGGCATTTACACGGGTAGGTGCTCGGCGCGGCGGGATCCGGGCAGGCAAGTCTAAGGCCCCCTGGGCTGCAAAGACCACCTCCCCCAGCATGAATCATGTCTCTTCGTCTGCAAAAGCCCCGCAAAGCCTCTTCCTGTGGGTGTAAGCAGACCTTTTCCACAGGGAATCCGACACAGCCGACCCTGCTGTGTGATGCTCTCCTGCAGGAGGGAGCCGCTTCACACCTGCACAGTCCAGGCGGGTGACCATGCCATGTGCTTCCTTAAATGTTAATTAAATTAAAAATACTCTTCCTTGGGGGATGGAGGGTACAGCTCAGTGGCTGAGCATGTGATTAGCATGCACGAGGTCCCAGGTTCAATCACCAGTCCGCCATTAAATAAATAAATAAATAAATAAATAAACCTAATTATCTGTCTCTCCCCAAAAAACTCATCAAAAATTACATTACAAAGATGAAAATTCTGTTCCTAAGTCCCAGCAGCCACATTCCGAGTGCTCAGCGCCACCTCGTCGGACAGCACCGTGGCAGCCCATCGCTTTGGTGGACTGGCTGCTTGGGACCCAGCTGTGCCCGGGTGACCCTGGAAGTCCCAGACCCCTGTGCGTTATCGCCTTTTCCTGAGGGGTCTATTGAACCGTTTCTGCTGAAAGGCGGGCGCTGGGCGTGGGTCTCTCCTGCACCCGCTCCGGCACCGGTGAGGCTCCAGGCCCCCCGGCTGGTCCCAGCTCGGCTGAAAGCGCACAAGCCCGGGGGGCTGTGGGAAGACGGCTGCCCGGGGGAGTGAGCCCTCACAGCGCATCTTGCCGTGAGAAGCTCAGTTTAATGGCAAGTATTTCTGTGAATAGTTTTCTAAACGACTTCCCTCCTGCAGCCACAGGTGTACCGCTGCTTGGAGGGCTGCCTTTGGAATAGTACTTATTCCAAATATCTGCTAGTCCCGGACGCCCAGTTTAACCTCCCGCACCCCTCCTCCCGAGCCCCATAGCCATAACTTTTTTTCTGCTTTAAACGAATATGTCTTTATGTTCCTCCTTATCAAAAAGAAATGGGTAAGCCAGAAGGAGAAAGAAAAATATATGCTATCACTCATACGTGGAATCTAGAAAAAGGAAAAAGGAGACACTATGAACTCCTCTACAAAACAGGAACAGACTTGCAGACATAGGAAACAATCTTATGGTTCCCGGGGTAAAAGAGGTGGGAAGGGATAAATTTGAGAGTTTGAGATTTACAAATATTAACTACTATATATAAAAATAGATGAAAGACAAATTTCTTCTGTAGAGCTCAGGAACTATACTCAGTTTCTTATAATAACCTTTAATGAAAAAGAATATGAAAATGAACATACGTGTGTACATGCTTGACTGGGACACTGTGCCGTGCACCAGAAGTCGACACAGTGTGACTGACTGTACCTCAGTTATGAAAGATAGAGTTTAAACTGAAAAGAACAAACAGCAGTGCAGCGGACAGCCAGCCCCGCACCTGGTTTTCCCTTCAGTCGTTTGTCTGGAGGCGTTTTCCCGTCTCAGTATGAAGAGCCTCTTTTTCTTCCTCCACATGCACGATCGCGCTGCAGCTGGGAGATGCCTGGACACACGCAGCCAGTTTCCAGTGCAGGACGTTTAGGGACATTTGGGGGATAAACAGGAGAAGCAGCAGACGTGACCTCCGGGACTCGGGACCCTGAGGCCGGAGACTGGCTGTTGGCGGGAGCTACTCTGAGGTTCCGACAAGAGAACCAGTGGGTGTGAAGGGCTCTGAGGACCGCTGGGGTCTCTCCCGGGGGCCTGTGTTTCCCGGGACCTGCTGTGGCGGGTTACATGGGGTCACAGGTTTGTCACAGAAACACACGTGTGTGTGGGATCCGAGTCCCCACGGGAGGGCAGGGCTCTGGTCAGGCTCGGCCTGCCTCGTGTCCCCTGGGATCGGATTTGAAACCGACCCTCCGTCCCCAGAGGAGGAGGGATCCGTGCGTGTGCGGCGCCCGCTCCTGTAATGGCAGCCTTTCCCCTCACGCCCTTCCAGGGAGCGGTGTCCTGGCCGTCCTGCTGACGGCCGTGCTGCTCGAGCCCGTGAAAGGCGCTCAGCGGACACGGGAGGGGAAGGAGAGAGCACCGCGCACGTGGTCCGCTCTGCTGTCGACGTTCAAGCTCTTTCGGGACAAGCGGCTGCGTCTCCTGGTCCTGCTGCCGCTGTACAGCGGGTTCGAGCAAGCCTTCCTGGCCGGCGACTACACGAGGGTAGGGGGTGAAGGGGATGCTGACCGTGCCGCGCTCAGGCCGCCCGGCCGGGCGGAGGGCGGGCGGGGCTGCGGGTGATGCGCTGGGTCCTTCCCCGCCTGGCGGAGCTGCCTCTGTGGTTAAGACGCCAGCTGCCTGGCTGCGTCCAGCTCCCCTGGGCTGGGATGTGCTCAGGGGAGCCCCTCTCACCCGAGCTGTGTCTTCAGGGAAAGGACCCAAGCTCCTCGGGACGCACGTGAGCATTTACTTTGTGATGCGTACCTGCATCTCACCTGAGGTTTATTTTAGAGTGAAAAATAGGGAAAACCACGAAATCCACGAATCCACTGAAATTCCTGATCACTCGAGGTTTTAAATTACGCGTCTCCACCTGAAAATGGATGTGGGTCTCGGCATGGTGGCCCTGCCCCCTCAGATGCCCTCTGTGCCTGGAAGCCCGCCTGCCCCACTTTGTGCCTAAAGGGGGCGCCTCTTTGGGGGGAGATCTGGAGCAGTGCCCCAACCCTGGACACCGAGAGTGACCTGCACTGGGTGGCAGGCTCTGAACTCACGGCCACCCTCAGCTGTCTTACAGACAGAATGGGGAACCTCCACCCTGACAAGAATAGTGCAAGTTCTCCCCTGTATGAACAGTAAGTACCGGGTGTCTGTGCAAACCATTCTTCATTAGTTCTTACTCAAGCACCAGCTCTGTTCACACGGGGACCCTGAACAAAGCTTCCAGGCCAGTTTAGCAGGTCAGGGGTCACATGGAAGAGAGCGCTGTAGCAGACACGGCACGCCCTGGTCAGAGTGAACCCCCACACTGCAGCTCCAGAGCGCGGCCCCCGAGCAGGGCCACGGCCAGCGCAGGTGACCTGTCTGTGCTTCCCGCAGTCCTACGCCACCTGCGCCCTGGGCATCCAGTATGTCGGCTACGTGATGATCTGCTTTGCGGCCGTCAACGCGCTCTGCTCCCTTCTGTACGGGAAGCTCGCCGCGCACACGGGCAGAACAGCCCTCTTCGCACTGGGTAGGTGACCGTGGGCGCGTGCTGCAGGGGGTCCCAGGCTGGCCTGGCTCCACCGTGTGGTGTGGCCAGGGTTGGGGCGAGTAGGGGGCTTGGTGGAGGCGCAGAAAGGGAGGCCCGGCCAGCCACGGGGCTGTGGCGTGAGGCGGGAGTCAGGGAAGCTTCCAGAAGGAGGCCTGTGTTCTCGTGGAGGATGAGGGTGACCTTCGAAACACGCGTCACCCTCCATCTCTCTGTTTCTAAAATATGTTTTTGTTGAAGTGTAGGCAGTTTGCAGTGTCGTGTCCATTCCTGGTGCACGGCACAGAGCTTCAGCCACGTGGGAACACACGTACATCTGTTCTCATAGTCTGTTTCACCATAGGTCACTGCAAGATATTGAGTATGGCTCCCTGGCTCCACAGGATACACTTGTTGTTTATCTATTTTATGATTTTTTTTTATCATCTCTCTTGAGAAGGGAAGGAAGGAGCGTCAGAGACAATGTGAATAATGAGAAATAGGGGTGTTAACAAAACGGTTGCCCGGCGGTCCCCCCAAGGTCCAAAGGGTCTGTGGTGACGCAGGAAGAGGGTGGGACACAGTAATCACTGGTCAGTGCCCGCCTGGAGCCAAGGAGTCGTGTATGTTGAGGAACAGAGAAGTGTGGTTACCTGCCCGAGGTCACACAGCCTGGGGAACCCAGGGTGCACCCGCATCCCCGGCTCTGCAGAGCCTGCTCCTTCTCTGTAAGCTGCTCTGCTACTCCATTTGAGAGACACCTCAGTGTCCACAGAGGCATGGGGCCAAGACTTAGGACCCGTTAGGATGAAGTCAGGAGGGACCAGCAGGCGCTGCCACGTCCTGTTTGGACGACCCTGCCCCTTGCCCACGCCCCCCGCTCGGTGGGAAGCGGGGTCCCAGACTCATCCCTGAAGGAGTTGCCCTTCTCTCCCCCCTCTGTCTGAACCCGCTCCCCTGCCCTGGCCCTGCACGCGCTGTGTCAACCCCCCCAGGAGTATTTTAAGGAAACGTGACTTAAGCCAGAAAGCCAGGGGTCAAGAAGACGTGTCCTTCTGCACCGAGCACCTCAGGGGAGCTCACGTCCCTCCGTCTGCCTGCTCGCAGGTGCCGCTACCCACCTCTCCTGCATCCTCGCCCTCCTGCTGTGGAGACCGCACCCCAGTCAGCTGGCTGTGTTCTTCGTACTTTCCGGCCTCTGGGGCGTGGCCGACGCCGTCTGGCAGACACAGAACAATGGTGAGCGCCCGGCCCGGGGCCGTTCCCACTCTGGGGCCAGCCATGGGGGAACACGTACGGCCCGCCGGCTTGGGGTCCCGGGGAGACAGACGTCCTCAGTGGCGCTCAGGAGGCGGAACGGAGGCCAGACAGGCGGGAGGGCTCCTGCCCCACACCGGGGATTCTAAGCGTCTCCTCTGGCCTGTGATGCCAGAGAGAAAGCCCCGGAGAGCACAGCTTCCTTTCTAAGAGTGACGGCTCCCCGGCCCTTCCCACGGGAGGAGCTTCGCTGAGTAGATGATGCCCCCACCCGCACCGTGTGCTTGTCCCTGGGCGTCTGAGGACGAGGGCCCCCCAGCGATCTTGGTGATGATGGGGAGATGCATGTGTCACTTCTGGCGCAGAGGGGCTCCCAGGTGACCATGGCATGTCCCGGCAGTGACCCCAGGGCTGGGGTGGGTGTCGTTCCCTGCGAGAGCCGCGTGTGGGGCAGCAGGGGTCACGCAGGCGCCATCCTGGAGGCCACGCCGCGTCTCCCAGCTGGCTGTCCTCCAGGCAGAGGGGGGCCCAGAGGAGGCTGGGGGGCCGGGCATGGGGGCTCCGTCTGTTTGGGATGCCGTAATAGGACCCCACAGACTGGGGGGTGTGTAAACAGCAGACGTGTGCTGCTCCCAGTTCTGGGACTGAACGTCCAAGATTCGGTGTCTGGAGGGTTCTGCCTCCTGCTTCACAGACACCATCGTCTTGCTGGGTTCTCCCGTGAAGGCGGGGGTGAGGGACTCTGGGGTCCTTTATAAGGGCACTAACCTCACCCAGGAGGGCCCCCCAGGTCCTCATCGCCCCCAGAGGCCACCCCCCGACACTGTCACCGTGGGGTTTCCACAAGTGCGTCTGAGTGACACAAGCTCCCTGGCCCTGCAGCTGAGGACAGGCTGGGGGCGTGCTGGGGGCGGGGGCTGCTGGCCCAATGTGGGGCCAACGTGCCTGGGGAAGGGCCCGGTTTCACTCAGCGTGGGTGGAAGCAACAGAAAGGACCCACGCCAAGGGGGCAGGGTGAGATGCTGTCATAACTCGGGGAAAGGCAGGCAGACAGACGGTCAGGGCAGACAGAGGGGTGGGAAGAGGGCCTGCGGCAGAGTCTGCGTGGGGGAAGCTACTGGCCAGCAGCAGGCCCCCCGCAGTGCCCGTGCCCAGCGTCCCCAGCGGGGGCCGGGCATCCTGGTCCCGGGGGGGCATCAGACAGCAGGGCCAGAGGCATCCACGGAGGGTCTTGCCTCGGACTTGGAACGGGATGGAGGAGGGACGCCGGATGGGGCACAGCTCTGAAAGGGGATGTTTACCCCAGGGCTTGTCCTTAGGCTCCAAGTGAGGGGTCGTAGGAGAGGAGGGGAGGAAGGATCCAAAAACGGTCGGATGAGGAGGGCGAGCTGAATGGCGCTTCGGGGGCGCAGGGCCAGAAGGGCCGAGAGGGCGCCGCCGGCTGGGAGTGGGCACTTTCTTTGGAAGCCAAGGGAAGGCAGTCCAGGCGAAGAAGGTGGGAGACACTGTCTCCATGGGGAAGGAGCGAAGTTCACACCTGGCAGATGTGGCTTCCTCAGGGAGTACAGCCAGTGGGGGCACCAGCAGGCAGCCCTGATCACGGCCGGGCTCCAGGTCCTGCGAGGGGCCCCCTCGCCCACGTGGCCCAGGCCACCCCCCACACTGCCCGCAGCACCACGCACAGTGCAGGGCCTGGGCTCTGGGCCCAGTCGTCCAGCCCTGCTGTTAGGCAGCCTCCCGAGCAAAGAGAGCCAGGAGGAGCGAGGCGGGCAGAGCTGCTGCGGGCGAGGGGCCTGGCCAGCACAGTGGGCCAGCTGAGGGCAGGGAGCGTGTGCGGCGCGGGTCTGCCATCCTCGGGGACGGAGCTGGGGGCCCAGGGAGGGGTGGGCACCCGAGTGCTTTCCAGAGTGCGTGATGTGCAATGAAACAGCAGAGGTCAGACTGTGGATGGGAGGGACATGAGGATGGTGAGAGGGACACTGGGTGGGGAGGGCGGCGGCATCAGGGCTGAGAACCCGGCCGGGGAGCCTGAGAGTCTGGAGCCCGGAGCCTGGCTTCAGGGTGGAGGCACAGAGTCCAGGCGAGGCGTGGAGGGAGCAGCCGTGGGGCGGGAGCTCTTCCCGAGCCCCGAGGCCCGCCGTCGCGCCGGGTAGGGGTCGCCCACGGCGTGCAGGGGAGCAGGGGTGGGACGTGTGGGGGAGGGAGTAGTCGCAGCCCCGGGGGACACACGGGTCTGAGGCCCAGGGAGGCCCCCGGGCACGGAGCGTGGAGGCCTGGTGTGGACACCACATCCCCAGTGTCGAGCGCCCTTTGGTGGTGGCTTGGTTGCGTTTCCTGCCAGGGGACAAGCTGCTGTACCGGAGAGGGTTAGGGGAGGCCCCAAGAGAGAAGAGGGAAGCAGAGGTGGGGGACCACACGTGGCAGTATGGGGCAGAGAGCCCGCGTTTTGTGTGGTGGCTGAAAACCACAGGGCTGAGGGCCGAGGACGGGGACCTTAGCCCTGAGTTTCCCACAGACCACCTACGGCCCCGGCACACGGTGGGTGTCGGAGGCCCAGGGCTTGAGCTGCCTATGCGTCTGGCACCCTGCAGAACGGTGAGATGCGCCCCGGCCCCAGAGGTGGACCCGGCTCCGAAGGGGCCTCTTCCCTCAGGAACACCACCCCCCATTCGGTCTTCATCTAGGAAACACCTGGGACTAGAAACTGGGCCAGGTCAATCCACTAAGCGGCCGCGAGCCAGCGCTTCCAGGACGGGAGAGCCGGCCACTGTCCCCGGCCCCCGTGGACTCAGTATTCCAGGACTGCCCGGCTTGCAGAACAGCAGAAAAACATCATGTTGTCGGTCAGGAGGTGGGTTTCCCAAGCTTTCCTATGGCCCCCGTCCTGCAGGAGGCTTTGGCGAAGTTCAGAACCAGGTGACAAAGGTGTGTTTGGCTCAGTGTCCTAATCTGGCGTGTGGACAGAGGTCGCTGCGTGGAAGCAGTGACATACTAGTCACAGGCTGGGCCTGCGGGATTGCTCAGCAGCAGAAACACTGAATCACAGAGAGAGAAACAGAAAGCATGGTCCAGATTAGTAAGCGGTGACAGGCCACGCCACCTGCAGGAATCCCAGACAGCTCGCCCTGGGAGCACCAGGAGAGGCCTGCCTCCAGCGCCCCGGGGGGCGTGAAAGGCCCCCGTGTCTTACTGAGCTCTCCAAATGCAAGTGCCGCCTTGCTTTCTGATATACGAGCTGAATTGTAATAAGTATTTATACATTAAATAGAAGCCAGGTAAGGGCCTGGGGGCATGGCCACCCAACGCTCCATGCAGTAATTCTCCAGGGGTCTCAAATGCTCACAGCAAAAATGTCTGGTTTTCTTTCCCCTGCAGACCCGGGAGTCACTGCTTTCAGTCTCTGTCCATCCTCGGGCAGCAGACACTGTCAGGCAGAGCCTTGGTCAAAACTGGGCAGAGTTCTGTGAGGGCCAGTGAATAATTTGGATAAAGACTGCCTTGAGCGAGGAGTGCTAATTTAAGATGAATTCTTTCTGTCATTTTGTACATTTTTCCTTGAAAAAAATCAGTTGTTGAGGAAAGCTGTCCTTTCACGTATGATTTGAGAACTCCTTTTGGAGTCTGCGCCCGCAGCCGCCTTGGCCAGGGGCGCTGTTTTAATAAACGGGGTTCCGGGCAGGCTGGCTGCCTCGGAGCTCCCGACCCCCGGCATCCGCACCGTCTCTGTGCTGCTAAAACTGGAAACGTTGTGTAGCTTTTGCCACCTTGTAAGATCAGCTCCCTCTCGTTTTTGCTTTTTCAGTTGGATCCCCAACCTAGTTGGATCCCCAAACCTGTCCTCCCTGAACGTGTCTCTCTTTTAAGAAGATACGTGAACCGCGTGCTTCCCTAATTGATGAGACGATACAGTTCAGTTCCTCCTTTTCAGTCACCACTTCTCAGTTTAAACACTGATGGTGACAGTTCTCCAGTGTGGAAGCACATCAGTGGCGGGACCATCCAAGCGCCTCCCCCCGGGCCAGAGTCATGCAGCTCACTGCTCCGAGCTCCCGCTGGGCTCCAGGCGTCCCTCCAGCCTCGGGAGCCCTCCTGCTAGGCTGTCTGTCTATCTGCCCTGATAGTGCGTGGAAGATGGGGGCCGTTGCCACAGAAACCCGTACAGGCCAATGCCTGCATCTGAGGTTGGAATGTCTGGTCTAAAAATAGCCTTCTGCCCTGTCAGCCTCCAAAGGGGCTGTTTTGGGGTTGATGAACTCAAAACCCTGGCTCCTCCTGCATGCCTGTCTCTTCCAACCAAACCAGACATGTCCCCATGTGGTCATCGGAGGACAGGGGTCAGCATCCATCATTTCCCCCCGGTTCCTTCGCCAGGTCAGGCTTAATTTGAATATCTTATAAAACGATGATATGTTTGTCAAAACCAAGAACTCGACACTGGGACATGACCTAAGGAAACCTGAGACTCGATTCGGATTTCTCCAGCTCCCCCCGCCCTCTGTGTGCTCCAGGACCTCCAGCTTCACCCCCTGTCCTCTGTGGGCTCAGGACCCCCCACGGGTGCCACGTTCCACGTCGGCGTCACATCTCCTCATCTGGTCGGTGCCGGATCCTCCTCCTCCCCTGCTGCTGGTGCCCTTGGCACCTGTGGGGAGCGCGGGTCGGGTGTTCTGCAGGCCGCCCGTGAGCGTGGGCTCGTCTGACGTTTCCTCGTGATTAGGCTGGAGTTCTTGGTTTTGGGGAGGAAGATCCCGAAGTGAAGTCTTTTCTCAGCACACCAATCAGGGGCACGTGGCAGCACAGTACGGGTCACTGGTGCTGTGAACCTCGATCGCTGGCCAGCCCAGGATCTGGCAGGCTTCTCCAAGGCAGCGGGCTACTCGCCTTTCCACGGCCATTTCTTTGGGAGCTAGGAGCAATTCCACAATCAAGGGGGAGCAATTAATCCCCACCTCCTGGAAGACGAGTGTGTATTTACATAACATGTAGGTCTTTACTCAACCATTTGTCTGTATCAACGTGGGCTCATGTGTTTGTTATATTCCTTGGGTCACAATCCAGTGCAACATTATTTATTTTGTTGCTTGAATTGTTCCAGCTTTGGCCATTGGGATCTTTCACACTGGCGCCTGTGTCCTTTTGACATGTTCCATCTTTTTTTTTTAATACTTCCTTATTTCCTAGCACTACGAAATATCCTAGGCTCATCTGGTAACTCTCCCGTGCCAGCCCTAGATTAGCCATTTCTCCAAGGAGCCTGGGTGCATTTTATCAGAGAACGGTATTAGAAAGTGTGATTTGAGTTCTGGGTGTGCCCACGGCTGCTGAGATGACCCTGCTTCCAGGCACAGCCATTGCACAGTGAGGGGGTACCCGTGCACACTGGCCCCTGTGCACACACACAGGGGCATCCACGTCTGTATCTGCACTCCCTCTGTAAACCAGGGGTGGGCCAGGCTGCTCCAGCACCGCGGGCTCATTCCAGCTGCCCCCAGCCCCCAGCCCCCTCTGCTGCTCCGCAGCTTCCTTCTTGGACGTGGGAAGCCCAGGTTCCCCTCTCAGTGGTTCGGCCCTACTGTCCACGCAGCTTCAAAAGTGCTGAACTGCTGTTTTCGACCTACTTTTGTTTTCTCTTTAATGTCTTTACCCTCTGCCCACCATGTCCTTAATTCTTAGAATCGGACGCAATGAATGTGTTGCTTTCTTTACGTTTGGATTAAAATGGAAAACAGATCATAAGTCATTTCCCCGAAGCCGGATGCTTGGTTACCACGGGCCCTCCCCCACTCCGGCTGGGCCGCGCTCCCAGAGGGGCACAGGTGGCTCTCCCCAGACTCTGCGCTTTCTTAAAAGGCAGTGCCGGCTGCTGACGGCAGCCTCCGCTGGCTTGCTCCTTCTGTGGGCTCTGGTCCGGCTCCTCCTGGACAGAGACACCCATAGGGGAGGGAGGGAGGGGAAGGGGCCCTTGCCTCCTGTCTGCCGCCCCACGTCTTCCTCAGTCTCTGCTGTTCAGCCAGAGGCACAGCTGGCTCCCGCCGACTCCTGGGTTCCAGGTCCTCCCCTCCCGAGGGCTCCCCTGCCTCCCAAGCTGCCCAGCTGTGCTGAACGCAGGAGGTGAGCTCGCAGCCACTCTGGGCCTCTCTTCCCTGCTGGTGGACCCCCACCGGGGGTCAAATTTCAGAATCAGACTCAGAGAACGTCAAGTTCTTCGCTTGATATTTCAGGCTTCGGGGGCCCAGAACGTTTACATTCATGGAAAAAACAACTCAGGAAGTTTAAGAGCCCGTAACTGCTCCAGAGGTGGGACCGGACCTGAGCCAGAACGCAAGCAGAAGCAAGTGGGGAGCGAGTCCCAGCCTCCTGCGGCTCGGGGATTTACGATCGTCGCGACCTAAACCGAATCTTGAAATCTCCTGAAGACATCACCCTGCAGACCAGAAGTGGTAGCTTAACTTAGAGTCGCCCGTGTTGCTGGATTTTCAGGAAAGTGGGTGCATGTGACAGGACCGCAACCTGCCAGGCTGCAGGTGGCCGTTTCTGCCACAGACCGGGACTGAAGCCTCCCCTTGCGGCCGTAGCGTCTCCACTCGGATTTCCTTCCCCAGCATCCTGTCTCCGGGTCCAGTTTAAGGTCACCCTCCGAAGACAGACAAGAGACCTTTCAGTAGTCTCAGGAGCCAAGTCCCTGGATGTGGCTTTTAGATTCTGTTAAGGTTCTGTTTAGATTTGTTAAGGTTCATGTGGGAGGCGCTTTGCAGACTGCACACGAGAAGAGCACCTTCTCCCAAGTGTTCCGAGCAGCCTCTAGTTCCCCACACGCGTCGCTGGAAATGTGTATCTTACCTGGTACTGCGTATCTGCGTGGCTCCCACGCAGGTAAAGGCTGAGAAACCAGACGCCAAGGAGCAGCTTCTGGGGTCGACGTTCCAGGCAGAGCTGCAGGAGACCTCGCTCCTGGCCTCAGACCTTCTCCTCGATGCTGGCAGGTCCTCTCCTCCCTAAACCCTCTCACCTCCCCGCCTCATTGGGGGGGGGGGGCTGGGGAGAAGGAAGGAGGCAAAGGTAAAGAAACAGGGAGAAAGCTGAGAAAGGAAGGTGCTGGAAGTCCCCTTGTGGGTCCGCCTCCCACCGCTGCCCCCCCGTCGGCAGGACCGCTCCGAGCACACCACGACTGCGCGGCGACAGCGGCCCTGGGGCACAGGCTCCCGGCGCAGACCCCGCCTGGCCCTGCAGGGGCTCGAGGAGCAGGGGCTGTCCGCTCCCCCGCCCGTGCAAGAGGCGCACACCTGCCACTTTGCTTCGCTTGTTCTCTGACTCACAGGTCGAGGCCATGCCTCAGCCCTGCCCTGCTGTCTGCGGTCCCAGGTCCTAGCTTACCCGGCCTGCCTCCCCGCGGCGGGCTCCGAGTTATAACAGGAGGGGAGGAGAGGAAGGGAGGACTCTCCCCGCTGGCATGGCCCCACCGTCCCCTCGTGTCACTAGGTATCCTGCGAGAGGCTATGGTAGGTCCCTGTGGGGCATGACCTGCAGGACATGGGTGCCCTGCTCAGTTCACAAGTCACCACCCCCCAGTGTCCTCTCGGTCACGCAGTATCCAAGCTGACTCTAAGGCAGCACTGGAATGATCGCTCCAAGTGAGATGGGTTCCTGCCTTCAGGAGTCCACAGCCTAGCAGGGGACAGAGGGAGAAACAGACTGAGTAGGTGGAAGGCATGAAAGGACTGGACGGATGTTGCGGGGAAAGCGGGTTGAGCCCCCAAGGATGCTCGTGGGATGGCGGCTGCAGAGAACCTCTTGGAAAGTCACAGGGGAGGCGGAGGTCCTCGCGAGAGGCCTGTCACAAGTGAAGGCATGAAGGTAGAAGCGTGGTCGGTGGGCCGTTGTGGGGTGTGCGGGGGCAGCCAGGGGCAGAGGGGCTGCCCCACCACAAGGCCTGGTTCCCCCCGGCGGGATGCCAGAGACTCGGCAGGGAGTGGTGTGACACGTTGCGTCTTAGAAAGATGATTCTAGCAACAGGCTGGGGGCCGCTGGGAGTAGAGTAAGCCCAGAGATGTGGAAACAGGTGACTCCAGCGGTGACCAGACAGGTCGTGTTGGGGCGAGAGAGTCTTGTCGCAGAAAGAATTCAGAAACAAGCATGGAGGTCAGGAAAGCAAAGCGAGGATTTATTAAGGGACAGACAGTACACTCCCAAGGAAAGAGCAGGCAGGCCCAGGTGGGTAGCTGCCCCGAGTCTCCTTGGCAAGCTCATACTCTGGGTGTAAAAATGAACGGGCAGAATATTCACTGGCAGGGAGGGGTGTGGGGTCGTCTTTCCTGACCTTCATCGCGGCTCTACCTTCCCAGGTGGGGAGGAGGGACTTTTGTCCTTGTTTAGTCTTGATCGGGAAGTTGGATGAGGTCATGATGAACAGAAGGCTACATTCAGATGGGGAGGTATCATAAGCAAAAGGTCACGTGTGGACGGAGGTCACAGTGATTGAAAGGTTACAGCTGGATGGTGGGGATTCCTGTCCTGTCCCCTCTTTCTGCCTCCAGGACACTTGTCAACCCAGAAGGTATGGCTTTTTATTAGTCTGGAGGATCCTGTTTTTCTTGGTCTGTCCCAGGACCCCCTGTTGTTTACAAGATGTAAACATGGTTTTCTGCCACTTGGCCCATGGCCCCCTTTCTCTGCTCATATCTAGCTACCTGCCTGCTCTAACAGTCGGATCGGACAGAAAAATCTAAACACTCGGGGTCCAAGTCTGACGAAGGGGCCCCGAGCCTCCTGATCACACTTGTCTCTGCGTCTGCAGAGCTCAGAGCTGTGACTGCCACGTAGTAGGTGCTTCATAGAAGTCCAAATGGATAAAACAGACGAGGCAGTGGTGTCATGGGGAAGGAGGGTAAAGCGTGACCTGACTCCAGCTTGGGACCCACGGGAGAGAACAAGGCTGGAGCAGGAGGCAACGAGGCAGCCCAGGAGAGGGTGCAGGAGAGGGGCTCCAACTGATGGTGAAACATCCCGTCCCCCAGGTGACGAGAGTGAGGGCCTCCTCTGCGCAGGGCACCCTCCTGGGCCTCGAAGGAAGGAGGGAGGAGATGGGGGGCGCCAGGAGAAGGGTCTGCGCCTGGCCACCCTGGAGGTTGAGAGGTTCCCGGTGGAGGGACGGGAGGCATGGTGACTGGGCAGCTCCGGCGACCAGAGCAGGACATCGGCCGGGTGCGCAGGCCTGTCGCTCTGCTGGCAACATCCCCCTTCCCAGCTGTCCGCCTTCCAGACACACTGCCGCCTCGCT